GTGTTCATGAGAAAAATTGATATAAGAGAAATGTATTGTTTACGATGCAATAGAGAAAAAAATTCTCTACAAACTGATATATTTATTAGTGAAATATCCATGTTGTGTCAAACTTTATTTCGTTGTCTTTGATCGTATTGGTTTAAAAGATAAAAAAAAAGGAAAATTTTCGTTTTCCTTTCTTTTTGTGCAACACGGGTTTTTCATTATTTTATTTGAAAATTAGACTATGAGCATAAAGAAAATCATTTCCACCATCATATACCAGTGCTCTCACTCATACTTACATACGTATCCTAATTTTTCAAACAAAAACAAAAATTATTTGTTTTTTCTTGCATCCTTTAAACCGATACCAGTAAGAAAATGTACAAGGCTTAGTGCCACAAGAATATTTCACTGATAATTATAGGAGTTTCTAGGGAATTTTTTTTCGTCTCTCATATGCTATACAATACACCTTTCTTATATTAACTTTGTTATGAATGCAGTTGAGTATCCTCTCAAAGAATGCATGTAACATCAATATTCTAGTATAATACTTTTCTCTAAGCTTTAAGTTTTTGCACTGAAAATATTTTGAATTGCTAGATCGCTCCAGTGACATACGCATGATATCATTATGATGTCGCAAAGTTGAATGCTTTGCTATGAGAAACAAAAAAATCTCATCCTGCATACATCGAAAAACTGATTGTTTTTACGAAACAATGTCCTATACTTCGAGATGATAGACCACAGTCGTAATTTTGATATCGAAAATAATGTAAATCGAGGAATATCTACTGATGAAAAAAGAAAAATTTTATCTCTTATTTTTTCTTCACAAATCAATAAACATAAAAAATAAAGTACAAGGGTGTTCGAAAACTTATTGTTTTGATTTTAGATGACGATTAGTTGTTTCCTCTTATCTTATTATTGCTTCTCTTTTAAGTTCTCTTACCTTGATAAGTGCTTCACCAGCTTGCTCAGCCATTTTGGTAGTAACCATTTGTACTGTTTCTGTGCCAGCTGACGGTTCGTTTTCTGCAGCTATGTCAGATGGCAATTTCAATGCTGTGCCACATCCATTACCCACATCGACACGACTGGTAATAAAAAAAAAACGAAAACGCGTAACTTAATACTTGATTCAACAAAGTACAGGTTCCTTATTTATGTTAATTCATTTCGGATGACGTTACATTTAAGGCATCCCCCCCCCTCCAAAATCGATTTTCGTTACAGTGCATCAGACTTCCATGAAACTTTCCACAAATGTTGGGCACATGAAAGTAAAGTTACGAAATTTTTTTTACTTCTCTAAACCTCAGCGTTCAGGAGTTTTCTAGAGATCAAGGCCCAAAATGGACCCTCTGGCAGTAGAAAGTCTTTTTCACTATACTTCAACGGACTGAATCGGGGATTATTTTATTTTAAGGAGAACTGTTTACCACTTGGACTGAGGGGAAGGAATTTTTTTAATTTTCCTTTGCTCAATTTAGGGGCGTCCAAAATCCAAAAAATCTCAAAATCCTACCCCAACGGTTCTTGAAAACTCTGGAGTTCTCTCAGATAGACAATTAAATAAAAAATCCCTTTCCCTCATCCGAAGCACTACATACGTATGTATCGATTAAAAAAAACCGCAGCTCTCTAGGATGAAAAATATTGAAAAAAAGTTTGTTCTGCTGTCGATCATTAGAGTAAAAATCCGTTTTGAGAAAATTGATAAACAAGTTGAAAATTATTTTTAAGCCTACTATGGAGAACAAAGAATTCTAGAGGTTTTCTAGGAATCTGGCATTGTCATCATATCAAACATGGAGAGAAACATGTATGCTCAAAATTTTAGAATTTTTGGTTATCAGATAAGGAAGAGAGAAGATTTTCAATGGCTGAGATAATTATCAAAATGGGTGCCGCTATTGGACAAAAATTTCTGTAACGCATTCCAGGGACCATATTTTATTCTGAAAATTTGGATACAGGGGTAACGTGACACGCTGAACACGATGGTGCTATTGGTTTTCTAGAAAATTTCTAAAAATCGGGGAGGGTCTTCAGAAAACCCCTGAACACCGTGAAAAAAAGACTGGGCAACTACAAAAATAAGACCGAGAACAGCAAAAAATCGCTTATTTCCTAATACCAAAGGCATGCGCTGAAAGAGGAGACTTCAGTGCATCTTTCCACAACAAAAACTCAATTTTGAATTTTTTTCGAAAAATATGATTTTCGGAGGGGGGGGGGATGCCTTAAATAATTGGCAAGGCCAAATTTCTACGAGTAACTTTGCCAGACATTCGCGTTAGCGATAGTTCATTTGACTGTATAGAGTTTTATCTTTGTACTGTAATGACTCATTAGAATATCTTTCAAGAAAAATCATCGAGAGTGAAGAAAATATTCAGATGGCTATCATGATTTATTTTTCTTAAAAAATAATAATATAAAGTTATTGCAGGAAAATAGTTTTATAATTTATGAAATAAAAAAATCCACTCTCAATGACACATTCAGGATTGTGCAACTGCAATTGTTAGTGCAAACAAGTATCAGTGCTAATCAAGAATCCGAATGGAATGATACAGAAAAAGCATAGTTTTGATACAGTTAGTGTTTGACTTTTGTAGAAAATGTTGATGTCAATTTAGTTAGTACTATAGTAAATACTCATACTAATGCAATCAGTGTTGGAACAGATATTGTATTACATATGCTTGTTTTTTTCTTGGTAGAAATCAATGTATGATGTACGTGAAAACAATATGAAATTCAATAACAAGATAGTAACTCACCGCATAAATTCATCATCCCAACGACCATAACATATATCAATTCCACCAATGAAAGCAGTCTTTTGGTGGATAATAACTATTTTCTCATGATAAGACCACAAAAGTACGCAATCCTTAGTATTGTGACCTGGATGTCGAATAACCTTAGATATTCAAGTAAATGAGCTATTTATGTTATTTCTAATTAAAACACTCAGTAGGCTTTAATAAATCCTTTTGTACTTTTAGAAATTAATTTTTTTTCTGTATATAAACTATTTAAAGCTAAAGCAAATGGCATTTACTTATAAAGCATTACATGAACACGAACTCCTGCATCCTAAAATTTATATCTAACATTTTAACAAGCATGAATAATAAAACAAATCAAATTCTCACAGCTATCCTTCCTAATATATTATTAAGTCGAAATGTTTTTTCATCTGCTGGTCTTATTAATATAAGTTCAGGTGAAAGTCACCAGTCTATAATAAAAACGTCTTCTTTAACTGTTAAAAATGCTTTAGCGTTAGCTGACATATATGATTTACCATTAATAAACCTATATTAAACATTCTATTTTAATACAAGATCATTTTATTATTTTTCTAACAAGCTAATTGATTTTCTCGAATAGGTGCATATGAATCGGATCGATTTCGTGTTTCACTGACAACATCTTTTACTTGTTCAGATAAATTTGATAAATGTTTTGTCCATTCATTACAATTATGTGCTGTTCGACATTTAATAAGTAATATACACTGTGAATTGATTCTTTTAATATCATCATCATAACCAATGTTTTGAATATCAGATGAAATTTGAAAATCATGATCAACTAACATAGGAAAATATATTTCATGTATATCAGGTCGTATATCAATCATATAAATATCTTTAATAATAAACCATCTATATTTAACAAAATGAAGATCTCTTTATTGAAAATATAATTCATAAGAAAAAATACGCGTACTTTGAAGTATCATAACATTTACATAAATCACAAAAACATGATGCACGCAAGAAAGCATGGTAAACAAAATAATAATTAATAAATTGTTCTTGTAGATAACCTTCTTTTCGGCTAACTGATAAACCAGGAACGAATGATAAACAATTTACGCCGAAAAATTGACACTAAAAACAATTAAAATAGTACAATATGATGTTATAAGGAAAGTAACTACCATTTTCATTGACTTTTTATCTAATATTGTATAGGATTTTCTCTATTACTATTCATAAGAGTTTTGATTTAAATGAATCATTTTCGATCTGCTAGAACAATATTCAGAACACCATAGAACTGATGGACAGTAAAGTAAAGTTATTATAGAAACAGTATTATCTCTACAAATGGGAAGTCTTTTGTCAGAGACTAACAAATTGAAAAAAATATCGTTTCTGTATTCAATTACGAAAAACAAAGTTTTATGGTGATTTCAAAGTTACATTAAATGTGCAGAATTAGATGAGGTGTCACCTACAATTTACTAACGATTCTATTGTTTATTTTGTATTTCCTTCGTATTTTCTTATTATTTTTAAAAATTCATGTTTCTGAACAGCTTTTTACCTTCACATTCGTTATCAATACTAACAGTGTTACATAAAGTACACAGGAAAGTTATAGACAAAAAGTCTTGTTTTGATCATTTCCTGAAAGATTTCTTTTTGATGACAAAGTTTACAACATTTGATTGCTGTTTTTTATGTAATCTTTATAAAATTTTATCTTAAACTTTCAATGAAAGAAATGCATGCTGTTGGCTATAACAAAGTTGCTGCATGTTATATCAAAGCTATTAACTACCATCTAGATTAGTAACCTTGAATAATTAGTAATCAGGTAAGATGATTGTTAACAAACGTCGCGAGCGTAAATGTTCTATCTATGTATACCCGTGCCTACTCCAATCCAAATCCAAACCTCACTCTGCCTCTTTCTCCCGTCCCCCACAGCCTCAGAAAATATCGAGTATACCACCGCTAGAACCTTTTAGAGAAAAACGAAGACAGATGAAATTTTCATCTAGTGTTATCTGTTCTCGACTAAACAACAGATTTCATTAACTTAGTTATTGATTGGGATGATTACTTTCTTCAATGGTAATCAATTATTCTTCCAGTCAGTTAATTACTTGTAATAAAAGTTTCTATATACAGTGTTGTGAAAAATTATAGAATCAATAGATTAATTTTAAAGTTTAATCGATTATCTACTAACTTAAACCGATGAATAAAACAAAAACACTGCTAGTGATGCATTCAAGTACTTGAATGCATACACTAGCAGTGTTTTTGTTTTATTCATCGGTTTAAGTTAGTAGATAATCAGTTAAACTTTAAAATTAAGCTAGTGATTCTATAATTTTTCACAGTACTGTATAACAGATTATATTTGATTTGGTAGTTTTCGGTTTAGCTACATTAGCAACAGTGAATTTCTGTAGAAATGAACTCAACAATCAGAAAGAAGTTTCTCATCAATTCTAGATATTTGATTAGTCTATACGTTAAAATTAGTAAAAATATCAACTTCGAATTCATACCGTTGCTGGATGTGCACGAAATTTAGAATGTTGAAGAGCTTTATTGAGATAATCGACAAGAATTGGCTATGAGAAAAACAAATAACTTAATGATTAAAAAAA